ATATATCTCCACAGTCAGCAGCAGTGAGCTTCTCTGACCCACGGCTGTACGCCTCACAGTGCAATGTCAGGTGGGCCCTGGCGCGGCAAGAGAGGTGGGGTTCCTCGTCCTGGAGGTTTTGTCTTAATTAACGAGCAAGAAACACGTCAATGAGGTGATCAGACTCTGTCCAAGAACCCAGGGCCGGGGCTTTCAGGGCCAGCGCTGTTCCCGGTATGTAAGTTTGTGAGAAGTCAGCGCTCTGGGTTTAGAATTCAGCGCCGTGTTAGTTGATGATGCATGGCCCGCAGGTGTTTTTGTGATCCGTGATTGCATGTGACCCGTGGTGTCACATGTTTTGAGAAGTGAGGCAGAACCAAGGTCAGGCCCGGGGTGCCTTTTCCATGCATCGTCCTGTTTTTACCAGTGTAACTACCTTCCGGATGTTTTGTGACTTCTTGGCACAATTTCTTATTATTTTAACATTTATATTTTTCTTCCTAGTCAGCAGTTTTCATTTCAGTAATCATTACTTTTATATTTTTTATTACACCGTGGGATGTAGGCTCCATTTCATTTTATTATTTTTCAGATAATTAGAAGCAACAGTATGTCTAACCATTTAAATAGCGTTTGATGCTAAATTTGAACATGTTGAAACCATAGCATAATTTTTATATTTAAGGTTATGAAAGAAGTTTCTGTAGGAATGAAAGATAGGAAGTGGAAAGTTTGGGGAGAGAATAAGGCTAAGGCTAAACTTAAGGAAGAACAGAAAAATAAAAAGACCAGGAAGAGTGGGAACATTTTTTGAATTGATAAGAGATGGAGAAAAAAAAATTAAGATTTTTTTGAAGAGCAAAAAACGATTACTGTTCCTAAAGTCAATATTCTGCATGCATTTCAAATATTTTAAATTGAGAAATTATAGAGGACAACAGCTTAATTATTATTATTATTTATTTTTTTTTAGCATTCCCAGTTAATGGATAGGAAGGAGGAGGTATACATACTCCCAGTGTGATAACCCCGGGTCTGTGTAGAGATACTTGAAACAAAATCTCTGAACTTGCTTTCGGAGTCTGAAGGGTCTGTTGTTACTTACAAAGCGCTCATTCCCACTGGAAGGTCTGGGGCCTGAGTCTTCCCAGCTCCCTCGGGAAAGGGTCGGATTCCGCTAATAGATCTGAACACTCAGGCGTGGCCTTCCCATAACCTCCCCTAGTTTTCCTACTCAACCCAGGATTCTGCCCTCACTGGGTGACCGCTCGGTGCTGGGAAGAGCACCTTTCATTTATTTAGTTTTTGCTTATAGCTGGCTATAAACAGCTGGGCCCGCATTGTTTCACACGGAAAGGAAATGTTTCACTAAATTACCGAAGAGCCTTCTTTGATAGAGTCGCTGTTCCACCCCGATGCGTCCACCGGCTTTCGTGGCCAGAACAGTATCATCTCAAAACCACGCACACCTCCGTGTGGCTCCTCTCCCCGGTCACAGTGTAAGAGGGGCTGTTTCTGAGCGGGGCTGTTCCGCTCCTGTTAATCTTAGGTGGGTTTGTTGGTTGTGGGTCCGCAGCGGAGGGGATGGAAAGGAGATAGCAGCTGGCCTCCTCCTGTGAAACGTGGCTGGAGTTTAGCAATAGTGATTCACTCGCTTGATTTCAAATGGATAAATTCATACACTCGGTCTGCCCACATCAAATCCGTAAGATTGTAACTGACCGGTCCTGTCTGACTTTACTTTTTATTTCAGAAAAACCTTAAGGCAGAAAACGAATCAAAGTAGACAGCAGGGGAGGGACCCGGCCTCACCGTTGCCCGTGGGACCCTGTGAGGCTGGGTCCGCGGGGCTGGAAAGTGTATGCAGTCGGCGGGTTGGAACTTCTCCCACATCAGTCGTGTCAGCGCCATTTGTAAAGAGGCGGCAGCTCTTGGCCGTCCCCTGGGTCCTGTTTGGAAGTTTATTCTGGAAGAATGTTCCGGGGAACGGTGACGAGGGTGTTCGTTTTACATGCGTTTTTACGGAGACACCTTGGTCCTGGGGCTCTGACCCAGGCCTGGCTCCCTGGCTTCTCAGAAAACCAGCTCGTCAACCTGATGGGCCGAGTGCGTGGCCTCCCGAAGCTTCGGACAGGGGTCCCCATAGCGACTCCCCTCTTCTCCGCACAGACCAATGAGCCGGTCGCACAGGGAGCCTTTGGGGCGCCCGAGGCTCTCAGCTGCTGCGGGTGCATCGGGAGGGGAGGTCCAGGGAAGAGAGAGTGGAGAGCGAGGCGGTGAGGGGATAGAGCAGACTGTCTGCAAAAGCATCAGCTACTCTCGTGCTGGCACTTGGGGTATTTTTTCGCCGACTCGGCCATGGAGTGTATGGAATCAGTGTGTTCTTGCCCCCTAAAGGATGAGCTCACCTCATTTAAAGGCTGTTCAGGATGAGTGTGGATTAGTAAGAGAGCCATTCTGAAGGGCTTTTGAGAAATATATTAGCAATGGTGCACATTACAAATAATTTTATTTCCCGCAAAATTTCAGTTACATGGAGCCTATTGGTAGTTATAGGTAGAAGCACAAATAAATACAAACCGTGTGAGAGCAAGCCAAAACTAATGGTGACGTGGCGGCTGTCCAATAAAACCTGAGTACTTTTATTACCGAAAGCTACATTTGGTTATGAAAGTAGTAAATGTTTAACACGCACATGTATGCAGTACTAATCTATAGAAAAGGAAAGGCGAGGAGGCCAGTGGGAAGCAAACAGCTCTGTGAGTTACAAGCTGAAGGTCATAACAGACTGTCTTGGCCGCCCCCCCCCCTCCCCCAGCTCAGGGCGTTTAAGCGACACCAGAGAAGTCAGAACGACGAAGGACAGTGAGCGACTGTGAGCTTGGAGCAAGATGAGATGGAGAGTTACGGGGGCTAGAAAATAGATGGCTTTGGAGGCTGTGGCCAGGAATTCAGAGTCCATTCTAAGTGCAGTAGAAAGGGTTTTAAATAGAACACTATTATATAATTTATATATTTTTAATATATTTTTTTAATTTTTCAATTACAGTTGGCATATAATAGCAGTTTCTGGCACACGCCATGGGGACTAGGCATCTATATAACTTGCGAAGAGCTGGGATCGCCTGTTAAAGGACCAGGGCCGCCTAGCAGAGTGTAAAGGAAGCTCTGCTCTAGGCATTTGCAGTGCGCAGGTCAGATCACACTCCACGGAGAAGAGCTGTTGACTGTTGTTTCTGGGCAAGACAGAGTCTGCCCCCGGTCCTGGGGCACCTGAGGCCCCGGGCAGGTGTGGCAATTCGAACGTGTCCCAGCAGCTCGACAGCTGAACTGGGCGCCTGCTCTGCCCTCTGTCTCTCACTGATCGGCGGATAAGAAGGACTTGGCGAAAACCTGCTTTCCCCCTTTGGGCTGGTTGTTGGGAGGGAGTTTTGAAGACGTCGTTAAATGTTTGCTGGGACTTTTCATGGGGGTATGGGGTCTTTTCTAGGAACTTGGCCATCGGCAACTCAATGCCAGTCATCTTCCTTTCTGTAGTCGGTGCAGCCTTTTCTGCTAGTGACACTTTTACCACGGCCCAGCATTAGAATAGAAAGTTTTGAAGTGTTGCCCGGCCGGCATGACTCAGTGGTTGAGCGTCAACCTATGAACCAAGAGGTCATTGGTTCGATTCCCGGTCAGGGCACTTGCCCGGGTTGTGGGCTTCCTCCCCAGTGTGGGGCGTGCAGGAGGCAGCTGATCCATGAGTCCCTCTCATCACTGATGTTTCTATCTCTCTTTCCCTCTCCCTTCCTCTCTGAAATCAATAAAAATATATTAAAGAAAAAGTTTTGGAGTGTCGTTAGCAATGGCTTAAATCCACGAAGGTTCCACAGCCACATGGTCATGCTCTTGTGTGGGGGGCAACGGTTTCACCTCCAAATGAGAAGGTGGCCGTGCGGTGACATTGTTGGTGCAGTTAGGTCCTTGTGCGGTTGAAGCTCAGCAATGAACTGCTGCCCGAAGACCTTCATCGCACAGTCAGGAAACAGAGGCCAGGAGGCAGCTGGATTCCTAGTCTTTGTGGGCGCTATTGGCTTCGACACGTCCCCTGTCCTGGCTCTGTTTTGCAAGCCTGCATTTGAGCCTGGAGAATTTCTCCACGTACATGTCTCAAGTCTGGCTCCGGCACATCCATCACCGCTTTGCTTTTGAATTACAAAGTTAACCTTAAGACGCGAGCCTTACGCGGGGCACCGCAGTGCATGCAGACGGGGAGCCGCCTGCGGTGAGATCAGGGAGTGCGGGGAGGAAGGTAATAGCAGGAAGGATCGAGTGGATGAAAAAATGGTTCTTTTCCATTAAGCTGGACCTGATGTGTTTTTCATGAAGCAGGCGTCAGCTGAAAGAGAAATATTTTCTCAACCACAGATAGGCTGAGGGCGAGGGCGAGGGGCAGTGTGGAGGGGATGGGGGCATGCGTACGTGTCTTATTGCATCAGCATCTCAAATTGTGAGAAGGTTGAAACGCACTCCATGGTGGGACTGCAGATGTTTACGCGGACGCGGGGCCAGGAAACCTTTCTCATGTTGGTAATGGCCCTGTGTTTTGTTAGAAAGCACCCTTGGGCTTCACGTGCTGTTCTCTTCTCCATCTTCAACGCTGTGCTGCTTCTTTGCAGGTTTGCCAAAGATGCAGGTCATCAAGAGCTACACCGGGATGCCACCCCCCGCTCCCCACGCAGGGCCCCCGCTCCACATCCAGGCCGGGGACACGGTGGAACTTCTGCGGGGCGACGCGCACAGCCTGTTCTGGCAGGTACGATCTAAAGGGCCGCCGGGTGGACGTAAGGAAAGGAGTGGCCGGTCGCCGCTTCAAGCACATGGTGCTGTCCTTTCTTTAGAAACTGCATGTTTCAGCTTCAGAAATCTTACACGATGTGGGGGAACTAGTTCTTATTAACCTTCCTCACATCGGCCGATGCCAACTCGTCAGTGAACGTTGGCACGCGCCGGTCACGCTCCTGCCGGTAAGGCTCCGCCTCAGGAGACGTAAGGAGTGGCCGGTCGCCGCTTCAAGCACATGGTGCTGTCCTTTCTTTAGAAACTGCATGTTTCAGCTTCAGAAATCTTACACGATGTGGGGGAACTAGTTCTTATTAACCTTCCTCACATCGGCCGATGCCAACTCGTCAGTGAACGTTGGCACGCGCCGGTCACGCTCCTGCCGGTAAGGCTCCGCCTCAGGCTCCCCTGCCCCGGCAGGGCGCTGGGTCTGCGGAGGTTCCCCGGGTCAGTCCCTGCTCTGTGGGCCGTGACTCCGTGTCCTCGCCTGCTGCCTCTCCCATCTCAAGGCCCCGGTTTGTCCCGTGTCCTCCCCTCTAATGATCCCGGGAGGGGTGCTGACTTTTCAGTCTGTTCGGCTTCTTACTTGTTAGGCCGGAATGATGACTTCCGATCCTCTTACACTCGGGACTGGAGGCCGCAGCCTCTTTGTACCACATGGTGCTGCTTCCTTCTCCTTCTTCGACATTATTACCTGTCCTTCCTCTCAGCAGACTCGGGAGCATGAAGCTTTCCTGGGCTGATGGTAAAATAATGGCTTGGGAGCTCTCAGGAGGAATGTGAGCTGGTCGATGACAGCGCGTGTGTGTCTGATGGGGGGAGGATATGTGATAGGAACAGGGCAGCTCATGTCAGGACAGAGGAAAACAATTAGCACGTTTATTTCAGGCCAGCGAGGGTGTATTGAGTGTCAGCCCTGTCTTCACCACTCAGACACGGCTCGCACTCCGTACCAACTCCGACGGCTGCTTTGACATCTGGTCTCCAGTCTCTGGAAGGACCGTGCACGCTTGCTGGCGCTAGCGGTGTGTTTGAATTTTCAGAGATGAGTTAAAAGTTCATGTGGCATTTCCGGCAAAGAGGTGGCAGGAGTGGGAATTGTCCTACGGGTCCCTCTAAGCCAGTCAGAGGAATCGGCGCGAACAGATGCTCTTCTTGGCTCTTGATCGAAAGGAGCCAGGGAAGAGGAAGGACAGCTGGGTTCAGGTCAGGCCTCTTTAGCCACTCAGCTGTGTGGCTGGGCAGCTCACGCCATGCGCAGCTCACTGTCTTCATTTGCTACACGAGGAGGCCTGGAGCCCAGCACTGCTCACATCTCTGGCTGAACCCGCTGGGGGTCTTTGCAAAAATGTCAACACATAACCCCCCTTTCAGGGGTTAGGCTGCAGTTGGTCTGGCTGAACCCAGGCGAGAATAATTTGTATGGAACCCCAGGTACATTTAATGTGAGCTACTGACTAGATGACAAACCCATTGATAAGGTTCCATGGTAGTTATGGCCATTAGCCCCAGCTCACCAGTTAGTTAGTCATTGGTAATAAACCAGCTTATTACGCATACCTACAAAACATGGTGTTACAATAAACACTTTGGCTCTGATAATTACCAAACAAAGGGTACATTTTCAAAGAACTAGCATGCAATTAAAGTGTACTTGCCACAGCCTTCATACTGAACTTGACTTACTTGTTTTCTTTGATTCACAAGGCACTTTGAGGCCTTGCAGTGCTCCCAGGCTGTCATGATACAGAATCAGACTTGGCTTTATGGTCGGTACCTATGGCAGGCACCTGTAGGAAACGGGCCTGAGTGTGGTCTGACCAATGGAATGATCTGGAATGACAGACTCTGTCCTCCTGTGAAAGATGTTGCTGGTTGGACCCTTTGGAGTCACGTGAGTCTGTAGGGACGTTCACGGTGGACCCACATGCGTCATTTTGCCAGTTTCGTGCTCACAGAAGACAGGTGCCTCGTGGTCTGCATCCTGCAGGAAGTGACTCCTACCTGGGCTTTAAAACCTGCTTCTGAGCAGATGGTTTCCCAGCACCTCTCCCGGCTGCTGCCCAGTCGGTTCGTCCTCGTTTGAGGTTGCACTGAGTTTCCACCAGGGGAGCCGGTGGAGGCTTGTCTTCCGGGGCTGGAAGGTAGGAGAGTGCAGCTCACTTTGCTGAGGGTTAGTCACCGACTCTGCCATGAACTAGCAGGATAACCTTCAGGAGATGATAGAACCACCGAGGGCCTCAGTTTTATCATCTATAAAAGGCAGAATAAAGTAAATATGTGCTCAGGACTGCGTATGGGATGAAAGCTATCATGTGCACAGGAGTTCTGTCGCAGTGCTCTTACACGGAAGCTCCTCCCTGTCCATCTGTCTGTCATCCCATCCAAATACTAATTACATGCCTACTACGTGTCCAACTCTGTGTTTCGTACTGGCAGGACCCCCAACAAGACAACTGGTGTCTAACCTCGTGGTCTTAACGATCTAAGGAATGATCAGAGCTCACGGATGATGAGATCTGTTCTGTTCTAAGTTTTTGGTAGGGTTTTTGTCAGTCACCTTGTCACCCGCATATCTAGCGTTAAACCGGTGGAGAAGAATCTAGATTAGTTCTTGGGATGGTACAGCGGCTTGGCATTGGAATGTCAAACGTGGCTTTCGTCCTGGTCACGTGCGTTGGCTTATTGGAAATGTTCAAGAAAGGATGCTTTGCGAACTAAACTGCTCTCTCCTCTGTTTTTTCAAGTGAGTCACTTCCCACGTTAGCGTAGAAATTTTGCGAACTAAACTGCTCTCTCCTCTGTTTTTTTTTTTTTTTCAAGTGAGTCACTTCCCACGTTAGCGTAGAAAGTCGGATATTGTAGACTGACACGCTTTCTGAATACTCGGTCCAAAGAATGCAGATCGTCCTCTGTCTGTCAGGAACTTTCTCTGAATAGCTATTAGTCTCGTCTGTCTCATTATTATAACCACAGTAATTTCCAGTGCTATTGAAGCGGGTGGGCTATCTGCGGTTTTATTGTAACTTCTGTCAAACAATGAGTTGCCAATTAGCTGTAAAAATGGTCTCTGTTAAATCTTTGCATTGAGGAGACATATTTGGCAACGTTTTCTTTCTTCTTTGTTCTCTTCTCTTTTCTTGAAAGTTCTGTGAAACTGCCTTCGAGTGAAGTGAGTAGAGAAGAGGAAACTGGCCAGTTAGGGCGGTTGCCCCGTTCAGGCGTGAGGCATCCTCTGGACTGAGTGTGACAACAGTGACAACATGGAGAACAGTTCTGATCATGTCACTGACTGAGGCTAAACCTGTTGCTTTCAAGTCATTCGCACGGGTTTGGTAACGAAGGAGAACATGCTTCATGACGAAAGAGATTGCTCAGATTAGAAACGTTATTTTCCCAGGGAAAAAAATACAGAGTATTGGGGGGAGAGAAAAAGAGAGAGAGAGAGAGAGAGAAACAGGCAAGTGTAAAATCATCCATGTCATATATGGTTTCTATACAGTAGAGTGCTTCATATGTGTTTTCTTCTTAGAATTAAGCTTGCGAACAGTGAGGGGTTCTATTTGCTCCACTGTCATTTATGAATGCCCATTGTTCCACAGGGTGAACAGTGAGGGGTTTTTTTTTTGCTCCACTGTCATTTATGGAAGGCAGCTATGCTCACCACAGAACTCCTGTGCACATGATAGCTTTCATCCCACCAACGCCTTCTCCACTGTCATTTATGAATGCCCATTGTTCCACAGGGAGAATTTTGTAAGCTAATTGGAACCAAAAGGCAATTATAAGTGGTAGAACTGTAATCCGGCTGCCCAAAAATATATTTTTGGCCACGACGAAAGTTAAACAACCTAGAAAAATAGTCGTGATACTTCACACTTGCAGACCAGGCATCCACATGGTCTTTAATCGAAGAAGTGAACATGTGTTTGCACACATTCTGATTAACCCACAGACGTCCCCAGGCAGAGGGTAGATTCACTCTGTGGTTTCAAGGAGCCAAGTGCATCCACCCATAGGATGGCATTTGGGAATTAGAGTCAGGCTCTCCCCAGACTTCCGGTCCCCTCCCTTCATCCCAAGCGTTAGACCATCCTCCTCTGCTTTAGGAGGGTTGTTCATGATTGTTAGCATGTCTGAGGAAAGCACGTCTTTAAAGCAGTCTCGTCCTGTTTTGGTAGAACAGTCAGGAATCAGAACCTTGCTTTATGTAGCAGTGTTTTGCTGTAAAGATTTTTGTAAGTCTTTGCCTCTAAGAAAAGAATGAAAAGTTAGGAAATAAGTTGAGCTTTTGGAGAATCTCAGGAGGAAGGACGCACCCTGCCCACTGACTCCAGAGGCAAGGAGCCTGGGGTGGGGGACGCGACAGGGGGGGTGTCTTGCCTTGGCCCAGGCATCAAGGTGTTAAACTCCGCTTTCCCACGTCTTCACACACCAGACACTGTGTCCCCAGTGCAGCAAGGTGACCCCTGTCTTCCGTCACCTTGTCAAGGATTCCTGCTTCCCACATGACTGCTGTATTTCGTGTTCAAACAAACAACAATCCAGACTTTTTCTTTTCTTTTTTTTTTAATAGATGTGTTTTTCTCACTTTAACCTGGGGGGAAAAAATGAAGGGTTCAGTGGGAGGAATCTTTTTCAAAAGAGGTATGTTTTCTCAGTCCTTTAGTCATGGACGTAAATTTTACCTTCTGCCTGAAATGTCCTTCTACCTGTATTCTCTTAGCTACGTCCTTCTTTGTCATCGAGGCTCAGCTCGATTCTGCACCTTCTCTGAGCCATGAGGGCTTCCATCAGACCCCCCACCGTGCTGTGCCTAGTGGTGTCTGTTCACCCTTCTCCCTGCCTGGTTAGAGGACTCCGGGGAGCTGAGACCCGAGCTCCCGTCTCTCCATCTCTAGTCCCGAGACAAAAATAGGCATCCGTCCCCGGCCTTAGAACCGATAACTGTTGAGAGCTGCTATTTTCAGAACA